CGAAGACAAATCAAACTCAGCGAATGTACCCGAGACGCAAGCCAATATAGAACAGTTGGTTCAGGATCAACAGGAGACTACACCGCGAAGAAGAGCTGCAGTAATGGCAGATATGATCAGGAAGCAATGGATAAGAGATGAGTACATTTAATAACTTTAATGATGTACAAGTTAATTAAGTTAACCTTGACATTTTGTTTATAGTTTAATGTTGACCAGAACTTGTATGTTTAGTACAGGTCAACGGGGGGAGTGTGACGTATTTTTGTATGTTTTCACCGTAATCTAAGTGTAGAACACGCGAGAACACGCGAGAAGCCACGCGTTGCGAGAAACACGTTGTTATGAATTGAACAGCCGCCATTATGATAGTTTTCGTAAATATTCCTCATGAATTTGTTGTATATATGTTAATAAAATAAGTATTATAAACGATTTGGAGCCTTTTGAACCTAAATTCTCTTACACTCGGAGAAAGCTTTTCGCTGGAAGAATTGGAAACGATATGTTCATGTCGCGGCTTGCGCCAGCTTCTGTCTTCGATAGAGAGGGCGAAATTCCTGTCCCTGCAAAAGTATGGGTATTTTTTGCTCAAGCGCGTGCCACGAAGAGGACTTTGAATCATGTATGAACAATAGAAGGACAGATGGTGAGTTTGTATTATTGCTATTAGTTTATATGTACTGTTCGTTATAAACGTGCTTCACATGTAATCTTATTGTATTGGTTCATTAGTTTATATGTTCATTTCATATTATTTCATTAGTTCGTTAGTTTATACGCAAAAAAATGGCCTGAGCAATGGTTCATTTGAGAATATGTAATGTTGTTCACTGTGATAGTTCACTCAAAGGATAATGATTATCTAACAATAGCTGGGTAAACTTTGTTTACATATTTTGATACTTTGCCTGCCAAGAGTATATGCAGACATACATTTCTGAAAGCTTTAACCACTGCCCATTGGCTTTAACACACATGATTTGTTATATTAAATACCCCACATAATTATGCATATCCTTGCCGGGTAAAACATCAAATTATGTAAAAAAAAGTTTGCCTGTCTATATACAAGTCTACATAGGTGTGAAATGCAGTAATTTGGTGGTAAGAAATATCTGTGTTTCACTGCGCTTGAATTTTTGCATTTAATTAATGATAAATATATTCATTTCAGACTCTTGTGGTAGCATTGGATTTAAATGCCCTTTGAAGAGCATTTGCTCTAGAGCTTATACAGCATCAGCCAGCAGCATTTGTCAATTTGGTAAATGGTGAATTGCCAGGTGAACCGCTTCAACCACACCCAGCTATGAAAACCCAGAAAATGCCTCAGAGTATTGCAAATGTGGATGGTGTGTTGCAATGCCAACACAATTGGAAAATAGCCCTCTCTTCCCACAGTTAGTACTTGATGGAAATGTTCGATCTGGACCTGGCCATGCATTAGAGGGAAGACTTTTTAGTGTTAAATAATATTAGAAACAATGAAAATTTTGCCATGCTGCTCGCCATGCAGACAATACGTACGCTGGCAACAACGAATGTTAGGAATTCGGAACAGGAGAGTGATTCCAAGCTGTTGTGTTACAGCAATACGGCAGGCCTGGATAAAGTTTTCTCTTCCTGGCAGCAAAATCCAAAAATTGAAATTTCCTGTTAAACTAATTAAAAATTTCCTGCGAAAATTTTCTTATTTATAACTAAGAGAACAAGCATTACTGTGAAAAATAAAAGTATACAGATACTACACTCGACAGCCACATCAATGACACTAACATCACTGAAATAATTTTTTTATTCTTTATTCTGGCTGCTCTGGCCGTCTGGGAAATTATTTAGTTGTCAATTTGTCTTTCTGTTATCACTGTTCATGTAGTGATGCAGCCATCGCTCATCACTCATCAGTATTATGTAACTATGTACTTATCCACGTACTTCTATACTTAGTTTAGTTTAGTTTAATGAATTTGCCATATATTACATATAATATCATTAATTATAAGTATATGACAGGAGTTTGAACAGGACTTGCGTCCCAATTGCAACAGAACCCCTTTACATAAAACTCCAAAAATATCGGAGAAACAACAATAAATTATAAAATCAAATAAATAAATAAGCGAGTAGGTAATACTATACTAAGGAGGACAATAGTCCAAACACTTAGATGAATAAAAGTTACAAATGGCAGTCTTGAATGTTCGAATGGATTCGCACTGTTTCACCTGAGATGGCAAAGTGTTCCAGAGTTCGGCTGTTCTTATGAAGTAAGATTTCCTGTAATAATCTTGCTTATGCTTTATAATTAGATTATAGTTATTTATGTCATAATTACGTGTTCGATACCCGGGCTCAAACACTGTCAAAAATTTATTAATGTCGGTGGTTACCAAGCCATTTCTCGATTTAAAGAAAATGTTAAGTCTGAAATTTGTCTACGGTGTTCTAAAGGCAATAAGTTTAGTTTTATCAATCTATCAGTATACTTCATATCTTCAGGATAGTTTAGAATAAACTTGGTAGCTCTTCTCTGGACATTTTCAATTAATTTCGCGTATTTCTTGATGTAAGGCGACCAAAGACTACTACCATATATAGATAGATACTGGTAACGGTTATTGTATAAATATCAAGGTTAGATACTTGTAGATAAAAATAAATCATAAATGAAGTCATGAAGATCATCAGTATAGCTTTGTAACAATCAGAAAATAGTTCAGAATATTTTCTTTCCAGGCCTGGGTCTTCATTAGTTTATTCAATTAATTTCTTACTGCATGAACGGCAGTCTTGACTTCTCTTGCAGCATTCAGTTTACAACCTTAGATTTGTTAGATACATAAGCTGATGTCATTCGATCTTCTTACAAAGCGAATGCCATGCTGCCCTTTGAAATGTATTGTTGTTTCATAGCCGCCATCACAACTTTATCACATTGGACTGGTAAAGGACCATTAACTCCGACCATCATTTCGTTGTACGCGGTATCCTCATTCACATTTCTAAATTTATTGAAATAAATCTCAAACTTTCATTCTAATGATTCAATCACTGATTCCACAGAAATTTTCACAGCGGCCACACAAATGGAGTGGATAATCATCTCAATTCCTTTATTTCCTTTGTACAACTCTTTGTCGCTGCGCAAAAATAACTTAATAAACTCTTTGCTTTTCATCATTCTTTTTTTTTTCTGACCACTTGCTCCAGCCGTACCAGAAATTCCTCGAATTAAAGAATTATGGTCTCGTCCGGGACGTCTTTAACGGATGGGATTATTTTGCGTAGCGTCGTTATATACTTCGCTCTTTCAATATTCGAAATAAGGATGGTACCTCTCAACTAGCTTTATTCTAACTGCAGTAGTCTTCAAATCAGTAATCAGCCTAGTATCCTCGATCATTTCTTTGTCTGACTGAGAGAAGACTCGAATGCGTATAGTAAATCTTTCTCCAAGCGTGCATGATGAGCAACAATATTCGTGATCGCGCCGTGACGCGAGGGCGCGCGTTTGGCCAGTCCGTAATAAATGCGGATTTTTTGCCACTTTTTTCGTGAATCCATACGAAAATTTCTGCCTATCTATCATCAAAGGTTTGATCTACCTGGAACCTTACATTTTATTATAATTTGAGAAGGAAATAGCTGGATATTTGGCGTTTAAGAAAACTCTGTAAAGTGTTTATTGACGACGAAAGTTTGAAATTTCAGTTGGAGTCGTTAGATTATCGCGCAAGCATACGGCGCACGCGACTACAGTATACGTCAGCGCAAGAACAGCCAATTTGAAATTAGAATATTCATTTAGAACAGCTTTAATCAAATAATTGTATTCTTGGATCCAATTCAACTGATCAAACTCTATGAAATGATGGAAAAAAGGAACTCGGGAAATTGCAAACGTTTGCTTTGCTTAACAGCTGAATTTTTTATACTTCTTACATTCGTTCTTTGGCTAGCGACAAGGTCTAAACCTGTACTTGTCGAACTGAACACTGCAAGAATTCCCGGCAAGGTAACGATTTCTGCAGAACTATTGTCAATACCGGAGAAATTAAGTCATATTTGGAGCTCGACCCGCGACAATTCTCTGCGAAAGCCTTCATTTCCATTTAAAACCATTTACCGTTATGGCCTGCAATTCGACATCAAGAACAATAAAGCCCATGTCTTCTTATGTATTCTACTCGCCGGTGATCTAGCTACCAATCCTGGACCCACGAGAAGGAACAACCATCAACCAAACGGCAGCCAAAGTTTTTTCGCGAGATGTCTTGTAATCAACGCTCGAAGTTTAATAAGCTCGCATAGGTTAAATGGTAAACAATCCTGCCACTTGACTAACTTTCAAAACCTTGTGTACACCGAACAAGCGGACATCGTGTGGGTAACAGAGACTTGGCTAAGAGATGACATCGAGAATTCTGAAATACTTCCCTGGAGTGATTATACTATCTACCGTAAAGATCGTAAAACTCGTGCTGGTGGAGTTCTTCTTGCACTAAAGTCTAGCTCCTTTTTGTCATCTCGCGAGATTGTTACTGACAGCGATCTAGAACTAGTTGCAATAGAATTAACATCTACCTGCAACAAGAAATACCTGGCATGTTGTACGTACAAGCCCCCGCAGACTATGAACAGGAAATGGCTGGACGAGTTCAACCTCTTTTTGGCTAATAAGTGTTCAGGTTACGCCAACATACTGATATGCGGTGACTTCAACTTTCCGAAGATCTGTTGGGAATCGCCAGAGTTAACAGCCGGCGAAGACGAAGTCCAGTTCACAGAAATTCTGAACGATCACTACCTAACACAAGTAAATCGAGTTCCAACAAGAGGCGACCACATCCTCGATCTCGTCATCAGCAGTGTTGCTGAAAACGTTCAAAATATGTCTGTAATCAGTCCTAGCCAAAGCGGTTTAATAACCGACCACTCAGCAATCACGTTCGACATTGCGACAACGTTCAAAGCACGTCCGAAAATTAAACGATCTGTCTTTGATTATAACCGAGGGAACTTCGACGGACTTCGTGCAACTCTAGAGTCGGTTGACCTTTGCGGTGCAGTCGAGTCAGCAGTGGACATTAACCACGGTTGGTTGAAATGGAAAGAACTATTTCTCAGTGTTGTACGCGACAGTATTCCGATAAAAACCATCAGCAACGTCAATAATCCGCCTTGGATCAACGGTGAGATAATCCACGCTATCAGGAAAAAGGAGACCGTGCGTCGGAAACTGAAAACATCGCCAACGGACGTACTGAGAAACAAGTTCAAGGCTTTGCGATCCAAGGTGAAACGATTGATCACTGAAAGTCGTTGTCAGTTCTTCCAGAACATCAGCGAAGCTCTCTTCAATAATCCCAAAAGATTCTGGTCTGTCTTTAAAATCAACAGTAAACGTGCCAGTGTTCCAGGATCAATGACAATGGGATCAAATGGATTAGATCCTGACTCGGCCCGCTCAGCTTCATGTCCTCGCGACATAGCAGAACTGTTCAACGACTACTTCTCCTCCATTGTGTCTGGAAGCGACAAAACAACTCAAACGGACAATCCATCCTCGCCAACTGATAGCAACTTGTCAGAGTTAATTCTTTCTCCTGATGATGTTCTAGCTGCACTCCTCAGCCTCGATACCAACAAAGCCACAGGTCCGGATGAAATACCACCAAGAATACTAAAGGAATGTGCTCACCAAATTGCTCCGTCATTATGTCTACTGTTTAATCAATCACTCCGACATGGCTCCTTACCAGAGGAATGGAAGCTCGCGAACATCATCCCTATCCATAAAAAAGGTGACATCTCCAACGTTGAAAACTACCGTCCAATTTCGCTTCTGTGTGTAACATCCAAAGTCCTCGAGCGCTGTGTGCTGAGAAACCTGAGAGATTATCTGATGTCCCTAATTAACTCCGCTCAACATGGTTTCATTCCTGGAAGGTCATGCACAACCCAGCTAGTCGAAGTTTTGCACTACATTGGATCCATTTTAGACTCTGGTAAACAAACCGATATAATCTTCATGGACATGTCAAAGGCTTTTGACAAGGTCAGCCATACAGCTCTGATAAACAAACTCCAACAGTATAACATTGGCGGATCTCTTCTCCAATGGTTCACATCGTATCTACATGACCGCCAACAGCGCGTCACAACTCTTGGCGCTACTTCTTCCAAAAAACCAGTGTGCTCCGGTGTTCCGCAAGGCAGTATCTTAGGACCAATACTCTTCCTCCTGTATGTGAATGATTTACCAGACGCTGTGACGAACTCGACAGTTGCGTGTTTTGCAGACGACACCAAAATCTTCCGTAGAATTGACTCCATCACCGATGCTATGTTACTCCAGGACGACATCAATAACCTTCAATCCTGGTCCACGTCAAGCGGTCTCGTGTTTAACGAAGGAAAATGCAAAAGTATTAGCATTACCAGACGTAGTCAACCAATCCATCATCTATATAGCATCAAAGGCAAAGAACTTGCACTTATACCAGCAGAGAACGATCTGGGAATTTGGATTGCGAGCGATCTAACCTGGTCTAAACACATTTTAGACCGGTGTACCCGTGCCAACAAACTCCTTGGATTTATAAAGCGATGTTCTGGGGAAATAAGCGACGCGAGGACCCGCCGGACTCTGTATCTGTCTTTGGTTCGGTCGGTTTTTGGTTACTCGAGCCAGGTTTGGTCGCCTCAAACCGTGACCCTCATCCAACGTATGGAACGGGTCCAAAGAAGAGCAACGAAGTACATTTTAAACCTTCCGTACTTGTGCAGTGAGACTTATCGGGAACGACTTGCCAGTTTGGGTCTCTTACCGCTATCTTACTGGCACGAATATTTGGATCTCGTGTTCTTTTTTAAAGCGGTGAACGGCTTGGTCGACGTGTCCCATGACGTCCTCCCCGAAGTCATGTCCCAAACCAGAACGACCAGATCCTCCAGTGGCAACCAAATCTCCTTCCGTCCGGCCAAATGCAAAACCTCTACCTACCAACGCTCCTTCTTTATTCGTGCATCCAGAACTTGGAACTCTTTACCAACTACACTAAGATCTCCTGACATTAATATTAGGCAATTCAAAACCGATTTACAAACTTACTACCTGACAGCCCTGAGAGAATGCTTCGACGAAGAAGATCCGAGGACATGGAAGACTATTTGTCTGAAGTGTAACACTAGTCGTTACTTACGTTCTGAACTAACTTGTTGTTTTTAGTCTCCTGTCCATGTACTGTATGTTATATATTCTGTACTGTATGTGTATTTTTGTATAGGGCCCACAGTAATTGGTTTACACTGTTGTGGTGTCCCTGCCATTTTTGTCCATGTTTATTGTGTAGATGTCTATTTGCTGTTCTGTTAAGTGTTTTTGGCAAAGTTTAATAAATAAATAAATAAATAAATAAATAAATACTTGCTTTGAAACATTATCTCGCACGTTTTCAGCTTTGCTTGCATTTGCTCTTCAGGCTAATGACCTTGTTACATTTGGCGCCTATTTGTCGTGGTCATCAACAATACACCCATGTATTCGCCTGTATCATCCAATTGCTTTATATCATCATGATACATGTATACATACGGACATATTCTTCATCTTGTTGCAAACGTGGATAAAAGTGTGAGATCTTTCATGAGGAAGAGAGTTGACTTTCTGGACACATTTATCTCATAAATATCAGTTATACCAGATAGTCTCAAAACGATCTTTCGAGTTGAGATGCGTTGATCATCGAGTGCGATGCTTGTATGTTGCTTTGTCTGCTAACACTTTAACAGGATGTTTTTGATGTTACTCTGAGTGTATATCCACACCAGGCAAGCTGAAAAGTTAGCCTGACCACGGTGGGAATCGAACCCGCGACCTTTGGGATAGTAGTCCGCCCGGCCTGGACTAGTATACCGGCCTGCATGGACTAGTATGATTCAGCCTGCCTAGTGTGGAGATACACTCAGAGTAACATCAAAAACATTATATTCACCTGAGTGCATATTCAAAACACATGATCGACAAAAAATATACTTTAACAGGAGGCGCAAATCCAGATTGCGGTTGTGCATGGTTTTTCAAATAATCTTTGACAACATCAGCAACAGGTTCAAGAAATTTCTGTAAATCTCTGTTTAAGCTGTTTGATTGATAGGTCGAAACTGACACGTTCGTTGGTAGGGTCTAACCTGTATGCACGTTTGAAACGTAAAAAAATAATAAATAAAAACATAATAAAAACATTCGCACTTCCCAGTTAGCGGCTGCCTGTAAATGCTTAAATGGTAGTGCTTACTTTACAGAATACAGTGTAATCGTATTTACGTTTTCATACACTTTTATTCTAAATCTACTCGATAGCAATTTGGAAATATAACTTTAACTACATTCTTCAAAGTGTTGAAATTAAAATACATTATGAACAAAAAAATTTCCTGCGAGATACAAAAATATTTCCTGCGAGTAATTTTTGTGAAAAATTTCGTGGCAGCGGTGCTGCCGGACATTTTCCAGCCCTGCACACAGTAAAAACAAATTGGTTAAAATGACCAATTTAAATTGGTTGCAACCAATTTAAATTGGTCATTTTAACCAATTGAAGAATAGGTTAGTCTGACATGACCAATTAAATATTGGTCATTTCGACCAATACATAATTGGTTGAATTTTTAACCAATTTAAAATGGTAAATTTAACCAATTTCTTTTGATCAGTCAATGTTGAATTTCCCAAAATAACCAATAAAAATTGGTCATTTCCCCAACCAATTTAAAATTGGTCATATGCATAACCAATTTAAATTGGTCATCTCTATAACCAATTTTAAATTGGTCGAATCCATAACCAATTTTTAATTGGTTAAATCCCGTAACCAATTGTAAATTGGTTAAATGGGTAACCAATTATTAATTGGTCAATTCCCATAACCAATTGGAAATTGGTCAAATGCATAACCAATTTTTTAATTGGTCAAATCCATAACCAATTCGAAATTGGTCAAATCAGTAACCCATTCTAAATTGGTCAAATCTGATCTGGCAGTGTTTTCTGTTATCCAATTCTGCATGTAATTTATTTCTGTAATGCATCCATAGCTTTGTTGGCCTTTGTTGTTTTACTCAGTCAAACACTAGATTTACTCGTAAAGAGGGGAGACCTTTAGTTAATACACCACAGACACAGTGTCAGTGACAGTGGCTAAACTTTGATATTGATTTTATATTTCAATTGTATTTATTTAGTTTACCTGGTCAAAATTTTGCCGCCCGAGTTAATTTTAAATTCTTCATGAGTTCATGGAAACTCTATTTACACAAAATATTTACAGTGTTTGTCGTGTGACATATAAACATGCAAGCGAAAATTCTCACGATCGACGAGCGCGGTTTCGCACGGACAGGCTGGGACCTAGTTTTCCGACAACACGCGCAAAGCCTCCCGGGATAGCGTCATCACACTGACGCCGCCATATTTATTCGAAATTTTTATTATTCATTTTGATTTTTTGTTGCCTGTAAAAATGAGTATTTGAAGGCAAGACGATGCCTTTTAACCAGGATAAAACATCATGGATGATTGCCTAGCATACAGGTAAGAATATTGTTATGTTTTCTATATAATAGAGCAATTTTGAAACGAAATATTTGCAATCTTCATTCGTGAATTTTGAACCATGTGTTCCGGCTTAAAATTTGAATTTGCCGCGACAATATTTGAATTAAAACGATAATATAAATACATTAGTTTTTACAAATGCTTGCATTTGACTCAGCCCTAGTTTATATATCGAATAATATGACAGATAATTTGTAACAATGTTTCTTGTCTAGAATAATATAGCTTTATAATTGGCATCATTCTACATTTCTACTCAATCCTCATATCATGTGCCCACTTAAGCACGTCCCAGCTAAACATGGCTTGAGAGAATTTATTGACTTTAATAATATCAACTGCTACTTTCATAAGTTTCAAATGTTTATTCATATATATATATACAGATAAGTGGGTGGGTTTAGATAAAAATGTCAATTTGATGTGTTATATTGCAACTTGATTTATTGACAGTTAAGTCCTAAAAATGCATGAATAATAATACAACAATAAGCCTAATTTTCAGCACTTTGTTAAAATTAAATGTTATCTTAACTAATGCCGGACAATTTTATTTGTCCAGGGAAGTGTCTAGCTAGACTCTGCCCATGTTTCATGTTGACATATTTAGATGCAAATATTTTACCTAACACTCCCCACTTTAACTACTGCGATATTTAACTCGATGGTGGAGTGCTTGCCCATATTTCACGTTTTAAGTATTAACACCTAAGAAGCAATTTCCTCTTCTAAATGCTACCTACTTTAAGTTCTTTGAAGGGGTGTAAAGAATATCCTGCTGGATACATGATAGGTTGGATAGTTTTTGCTATCCAGCCAGATATGTACACGATATAGTATGTTGGATAGTTGAAAATATCCAGCCAGATTCATGGTATTATCCAAATATATATGGTTAATGCCTCATAAATTTAAGGTCACTCCTTTAAATGGCGATGTGCCCAGCAGCCTGAATGCTCCCCACTGTATTATTT